AGGAAGACAAGCAGGATGAACCAACTAAGAACAGGACCGGACCCACGGCTGGAAAACTTCCCACCGTTAAAGGAAGCCAAGCAGCGGGGTTAGGAATGTTGGCATGACTAGCACTGACCTGCCCGGCAGACGAAGGGCTGGGGCTCACCATACCCCACCTCCTCCAGCCTTCAGCCGACCCTCCCAGGACACACATTTCTGGTTGCCTGCTTTCACCATCCTCTCTCACCACCTTCCCAAGTCATTGGACATAGTTAGGAAGTGACCAACAGGCTCCCAGGCTGCTCAGGAAGTTTCTGAGACTCCGAGCTTTTGCTCATAGGTGCTCCTGTGAAGGGGTCAGCTCCTTCAGAGCCCCCAAGCAGTAGAGGCCCCTGGGTGAGGTCAGCTGGGCATCCCCAGATCCACTCAGCCTTGAATGGGGCCACGTGAGCTGGCCAATGCCAAATTCCATTGAATCAACAGTATGGTGATGAAGCCCCAGATACTTGGGCAAGGACTGGCATGCGTGGTCACACACTCGGCATGAGAAAAATGATAGCTCCCGATGAAAGCAGATAAACGTGCCCAGGCTTTGGGGGCACACTCTGCAGCCCACCACCCAGTGGGGGCTCTGGATCACACTGTGGTCAGGGTTTAAATTGGACAATCTTCCCAAGTGACCATGGGCTGGCCAGGGAAGGTGGCCACTAACTCACCTCAGACACCAGGAACCCAGAGGGCACCCCTAACCCTCAGCCAGAGGGTAGATGGTGACACCCACCTGGATGTGTACCTGACACATACACACACACACACACACACACACACACACACACACACGTGTGCGCTCTGGGGGCCTAAACTAGATGAAGACGCTTTCCAAAGCTGCTGCCCATGTGAGTGTGTACCTCTCTGAACTCCTTAAGAGATGAAGGGGGCTGGGGTTGGGGCTCAGTGGCAGAGTGCTTGACTCGCACATGTGAGGCACTGGGTTCCATCTTCAGCACCACATAGAAATAAAAATAAAGATATTATGTTCATGTATAACAAAAAAATATTAAAAAAGAGAGAGAGATGAAGGGTCAGAACTGTGCTGTCAACTACCCACAGGGGGAAGGACTGCAGAGGGAAGCCAAGGGGGGATCAGGAAGAGATGAGGAGACAGAGCCCAGGGAGATGCAGGGCTGCGGGCTACTGAACTGGCCTTGGGTGCTGCACTTGGCCTCACCCCAACAAGAATGGACCCCTAGGAAGGAGTCAGGCCGCAAACAATCCTCTGCCTGCTCCAAGACCCAGCTACGTGCACAGCACAGAGAGGCTTCCTCTGGTTCCATTTGTGAGTTGGAAACAATGTGGTGTAGCAAGAAGTGTTACCACATTCACATGGAAGGGTTCCTCTGATAGGACTCAGCCGAGGACAGGAAGTCCACAGCAGCCAAGGCCACACAGATACCTCTTCCCCAAGAAATGCCTTGGTGCCCAAATGCCCTTCCCAGAAGGGCTGGAGCAATGGAAAGCTAGGTATCATAATTTCTAGTCTCCACTGAACTAGTCTTCCTGGGATTCTTGCTGTTGCTTGACCCCAGCAGGCACCCTCCATCTCTCGGGTCCTGTCCCCCTGGCTGCTCTCCAGGCACAGCCTCCACTTGCAGTTCTGTGGATGAGCTACCCCAGCTCAGGTCCCATCTCAGGGGTTTTGCATTGTTGTTCCCTCTGCTTGTTCCTCTTTTATCGATATCAAGATGGCACCTTCTCAGTGAAGACTTCCCTGTCCACCTTATTTAAAAACACAACTTCCCTGACTTCTACATTTAAAACCAAGCACTCCCAGGGTTGGGGGTGTAGCTCAGGGTAGAGCACTCGCCTTGAAGGTGCAAGGCTCTGGGTTCAATCCCCGCATTACAAACAAACAAACAAAAAAGAAAGAAAACAAACAAAACAGACTCCCTCATGGCAGGAATTCTCACCTATTCCATTCACTAATGTATCCCCAGCACAGAATCTGGCACAAATTAGACACCCAAATATGTGTTGAAGGAAGAACTCAGCATTTGTCCTTGGGCTGGGCACTGGGCAAACACACAGGGAAGGGCACTGTGCCCTACAATGCCATCTGAGGAGAGGAGACTGTCCTACCATCCCAGAGAGAAGATCATGACATCCAGTATGACACCAGGCGGACGGGCCAAGTCAACATGCCTGTCTCATCGTGCCCGGTTAGCAGACAGGACCACCTGTTCATCCAACCGTCAGACCTGAGCACTCTTCCTCATATCAAGGCCAATGGCTTGATGCCACCCAGTCACTCTGTCAAGAGCCAGCAGAGCTGACCCAAGGAAAACAGAGCCCCTGGGCCCTGTCTGCCTGGCAAAGCCAGGACACTGTGTCTCACAGCTAACACCAGGTGGAACAGATAAGGATGCTTGCTTTTCAAAACACCTGGGCTGTCCCTCCTCCATCCGTGCAATGCCTGCCTCCTAGAACAGCAGTGCCCACCTGCTCTCTTTGGGAGATTCCCCCACAACCTGGACCTCCTCCTCACCCCTGCCTCAAGTACACTGAAATGCAACTGTGAAGCCCCTCAAAGCAAGATCACTGTGTAAGAACCCTTGGAATAACAGGTTGCCTAGAGATTGTCAGGCCCCCAAAAGGATTTGAGTCATGGTGGGGGGTGAGAATGAGGAAGGGTGAGTTGTGAGGGTCCCAAGCAAACAGCTAAAGAGAAAGGTCCGAAGCTAAGTGCAGTGGCACACACCTGTAATCCCAGCAACTCTGGAGGCTGAGGCAGGAGTGTCCCAAGTTCAAGGCCAGCCTTGGCAACTTAGAGAGACTTTGTCTCAAAATAAAGTAAAAAGGCTGGGGGTGTAGCTCAGTATGTAAAGCACCCCTGGGTTCAATCCCCAGTACTACCACAAAGAGAAAGAGAGAGAGAAAGTGTGGTGTGTTTATTGGAGGAAGGTCCTATCAGGAGGGGAAAAGAGCGCTGGGAGACCATAAAGGTACCGGAATACTTTAGGGAGGGACACAAATGGTCAAGAAAACTTCCCTAGTGCAGGCTGCCCCCTGGCAACCCCAAAGGAAATGGTTTGGAGTACCCTGGTCCCTCTAATTTCTTCTGTGTTTTCTCCCTTCACTTGGCTAAAAGTCCTTTCCAAGGACAGATTCCAGGCAGATCTGTTAGGGTAAAGGCATGCCTCCCAGCCAGCTCACCTGGCCTGGCTAGTCAACCATCCCTCCCCTCAGGCCCAGTCTTATCTCTTCTGTTGGCCTTAATCATTTACTACAACCCCTTCACCTAAACCCAGGGTTCTCAGAATTCCAAACCTGTTCTCCACCAGGTATTTACCCAAGCTGTGCTCCTTGCGGGCCCATGTGCCCGAATTCCACATTTTTCACTGGCTTTCCTGGCTCCTGCAGGCCATGGGACCTCAAAGTCTTGCCCCCAATTCAGGAGAATGGGCAGGGCCAGATTAGATTCAGGTATTCAAGGTCCCCTACAGTCTGCGAACACCTTGAGAGCAGGGAAGTATTCTATGAATAAAATTCCCTGGACACATAATCAACAGTTTGTTAATGCCAGCTAAGCAGGGTGAGACGTGAGATCTGGGCCAGTGCCACAATGCCAGCATCTGAGTGAGTTGGGACTGGGCAGTGAGACCCCAGGCAATGGTGAGTGTGGTGGGGAGATATCCTACTGCAGAGGTGGGTCCACACAGACGGCAACCACTTCCCAAGACTCCTTTTCCCTATCCTTGACAGTCACTGTAAGCATCTT